TCCTCCTGATACTACTGAGTGTATGTTTCCAGGCATCTCGTACGCAATTACGTTACCCTTAATTAAACGGGTATATACGTTATACCTCCGTTCCTCTCCACAAAACTTGCGGTATCTTTTAAGTGATACTTCACTGAAAACGATAACATCTTTTGACTCTTTTATACTTTCTTCCGCTATAACACTCTTTTCTGCAATGCTGTTTTCCCTATCAATTTCGAGTAAGCACTACCTTACTAGTTCAAAATTTTCTTCCAGGTTGCTCATTGGCATTGTGAAAAAATTTTTTGATTAATGATTATGATTAATAATGTTTTATATCGATGAATACGTAATCGATGATATCATGTGAATACTGCGCCTTGTCAATCATCCTCATACACGTGATTATAATAAAATATTTGTCGCGGTAAGGAGTTAGTTAAGGTATTAGCATATGATATGTCAAATGTCACATGTCCGAGGATTTTTAATATTTTGTGTGCACTTAGATTTCCGCTGCGTATTCATCAAAAATACCACGAAATTCGCGTTGTTTATTATGTCCCCGGTGTCATTTCCTTTCGCTTTTCATTTACTAAGAAATTTTTTGACTTTGAATTTTTTGAGTAGTTAAAATCTATTCGTCACATATCAAAACTCACATATGCGCGACTAAATCTAGCTAACTGAAGTCGTGACATTTTTGATGTAGAAGACTTGTGTAACCGAGAATCAAAACATTTCAAGTTTTTATTAAAAATTGATATTAGACCATACCGTGAAAGGACAGAAATATTACACGGTCAAGAATTTGATAAATAAAATATTCATTATGCAATCGATGACCAAAATGGTACTTAAAAAATTTGACCCGGTTATATCTCATTCTTGACCATGCAATACTTCTGTCCTCCCCAGTACGCAAGTTTCATTATTATTTTTTAAAAAAAAGGTGGATATACTTAGAGAGTTTTTATGATCCCTGCACGAAATAATATGAAAAATCAACATATGTACTCATATATTCATTAAACCAGCAATTTTATTTATTTATTATTTAGGCGTGGATGATTCATTTCACTTTATGCGTTTGCGAATACAATAGGCTAACTGCAAAATAGTTTCTTAATTTTAGTAATTGTACATATCTGAATCATTAAATCGAAAATTTAATTTCCCACAAGATCATATCAGTTTTAACAATTCTGTCATTTTATAATAATTCTAGAATTTATTAATTGTATATTCGATGTAAATCTTGAATTTTATTCCTTCGAGCAATGTAGTTCGTACTGTACATCAAATAATAACTTTATGATGAATTGTTATTTTTTTTAAAAAATCTGTTTTCGATACCTCGTAATCGTTTAGTAATATAATTAACCAAAGCAAAAAATGGCATATGAAATAAACCATTACGAAATTGATTTGAAAATGGTATCTCAATTTTACCCTGATTGTTACATATGCCTCTCGGTATTGAATTTTAAGCTTTCATCTTTTAAAAAGATAGCTTTCATGGAATAAAGATTAAACGACATGATAAATTATATTTAAACATCCTCAATTTTTGAGTCCAAATAATTCATAAGCGCAGTATTTGTTATTGAATTCAAATAGCAGTGTTATCAAGTAATTTATAAATTTACCAAAGGAAAATAAAAATGTTCATAAATTAACGATAATTTCAATATTTATTTTTTTTTTATAATTGATCACACAAAAAAAAACTGAAGGTCCAATAAATTTTTTTTGATTTTCGTTTATGGATTTATAAACAATTAAAATGTAAATAGAAAGCATTTTATTAATAAGCAATTAAATAATATGATGTAAATGTTGTTCAATTAAATTAATTAATCAGTGTTGCCTCAACATTTGCACTTTCGCAATTTCAATTTTATTAACGCTAATCAATAAATGATATTATTGAAATAATTAATTGGAAAATAAACGAAAAATTAAAATAACAAAGTTACAACAATAGAGAAATTATATTAAACAAAATGTACTGTATAGATTCAGATATAGGTATAGTTGAACAGTAACTGATGAAGCCCAGTATATAATTTAAATAAATCCGGATATAATAAATCCGGGCAAATTTTGTATAAGGTTTTAAATCCGAAGGTAAATCCGGTTTTGATGTTTGTTGATTTTTTTTAATCTTTTTAGCCCCCTCAAGTTTTTTTTTTATTCATATTCATTTTGGAAAATCGATCCTTTTTGCTCACTTTTTCTTGAGATAAGTTTCTTTTTTTTTTAATTTACATTTCTTTTGAGTGATTGTGATTGTTACGCAGTTGTATTTATATTATTTTGCCAATTTAAGACTTTTAGATTTTCTTGTCGATGTCTTCATTTTACGCGTGCGTGAAAATATATCTGAACAGATATCAAATATTGGCATTGATTAATATATTATTAATTAGATTAAAAGGTTGTAATTGAGATTTCATTACATTGCTATTTTGCTGAAAAATTAATCTAATTCTTTATTCGATTTTATATTAATCAATGGTATGGTTACACAAAATTATTTCTTATTATTTCACAAAACGTGAAAAATATAAAATTTTATAATCTAAAAATTCTTAAATTGAGAGAAATTTGTAAATACGAAAATATCTTTCAAATGCAATAATATTTAGAAATTATTTTTAGAAAGGATATTTTCTTTTTCATCAAGAAGGGATACATTTTTTGCATGAAATCTTTTAATTTTTTTTTTTATTTGAATTATACATTTAATTACAATTTAATAAAAAACCCTTTAACTTGCGGAAAAATTAGTTATCAATTGAAAATATTATATATATAGATTCGTTCACAGTCAGTGAATAAATTTTTATATCATAAAAAGATTAAAAAATAAGTGAGGGGTATTTATGATTATCTTCACACTTGCAAAATCATCCGCTTCACAATTAATTAATTGAAGAGAAGTTAGTATAGTTTCTCTTAATAATTCTTGGTTGATTCATTTTAAATAAGTTTAGAATATCGCGATAATTTAAAAAACCTTAATACTAACTATATAATGTCGAACATTTATTTGCAAACAAATATTCGAATATAGTTATGTTATCAAGTTGATGGTATATATTTTTTTTTTTTAAAAAAAAAATCTTCTCTTTTATTTTACTCGAATTAATTATTTATTCGAATATTCGAAAATCAAAAATTAATAACCGAAAATCGAAAAAAAAATTTAAATTTATATTTAAATTTAAAAAGATAAAATGAATACAAAAATAAATTAAAATCGAAATGAAATTGATTTCGTTTTTTAATATTTGAAATGAATTTCGACTTTCAAATATTTGGAATGTTATTTGTATTTCAAACGGGAGTTTCACCAACCACCTTGGTTTACGTACATACATAGTGACCATGAGTAGAAACCCATCTGAGGTATTATGTCTAATTTGTAGAATTAGTATATAAAATGCGCCATCAGAAAGATCATCAGTAAAGGTTGTAAGGTTCTGCAAATTTACCACAAATACTTGCAGAGAACGTCTGTAAGGGAGGATTTACACAATAACTAGGGAAGCCTGAGGTATATCTCCACTGCTACAACACCTCTCTGCCCAAAACTTTTGAAGCGAAAGAAGAACCTAAATAGAAAAAATTTGAAAAAAAAAGAAATCATCAGTCACTATGCCCAAAAATAATAATAATAATTTAATTTTACTTTGCGATCCAACCCGAAAGAAATTACTAAACAAATAAAATTACAAAGCAATGCTTTGAAAACATTTACTAAAGTGATTAAAAAAATAATAATAATTCAAAAACGAGAAATTCTTGTAAATTGAAATTAATTTTACATAGGTTAATATCAAACGTGATTATATAAATAAATATAAATAAATATTTAGTTTAAATCATTAATAATTTATTCATTATTTTACATATTTCCCATAAATCAAATTATAATAAATCAAATTATACTTTCTAATAATACAAATTATTTTTGCAAATTCCCAATTTTACAATTAAATAAAATATCTGCCAATTACTATAAATAAAATAAATAAATATTTATTTATTTATTTAAATAGATAAAATGTCATGTTCAATAGAATATATATATATATATAAATTAATATAACTTTATCTCCATAAATTTCTAAGAATTCCTATCATTTTCAACAGCCTTTGTGTTCTATCGCTATCTTACCTCTTAAAATTTCTTCGATAGTTATTATCACATCATTACTGTAAGTTACATTTCGGAAATTGCATTTACAATAAAAAAAAGCTACGGAGTTGAAGTCTTATCTATTTTGGCGGTACACATTTAGTTTTATTATCAATAAAAATCATTCTTCATGCTTGAGGCGAAGAAATATATAAACTTTCTCAATTTGTTTTATTTTTTTTTTAGAATAATATTTGTAATTTTTAATTGCAGAAACAATATTTTTTTTTAGGGAAACCGTATTTGTTCGTCATTCTAGAGTGTCATTTAAGAGTACATCCAACTTTCGAGATAATTTTTTGAAATCTTTAACTGTTTGGAAATTTATCGATTTGGCGATATTAAATATTCCGAGTTATAACCAGTTATAATTTTTTTTTTATATTTTAAAATTAATTAGTATTTTATAAACAAATTATTATCATTATTAAGATATTATAAAAAATTGTAGAACTAAAATTATTCTTAAACACGTAAAAATTATTTCAAATCAAATACATAAGAGTTACAAATTATGTTATTATAAATTATTGAACATCATACTCTTCAAATTACTTGAATAGCGATAAGTTAAATGAATAATGAGTTGATAGAATGAATTTATTTTTTAGTTAGTAAATATTTTGGATAAACGTAAATTAAGGAATCGGGAAAATTTGGTAATTTAGTTATCCGAGTTTTTCCGCAGCTCAGACGAGTCAAGGAGGTTGGTAAAGTTGGTAGGATAGTTATTGGAGTATTACTACATTTGAGTTCCGTTAAGGAGTCGGGTAAATTTGGTAAGCTATTTATTTGAGTATGATCGCAATAGAGGAGTCGGGTAAAGTTGGTAGGATAGTTATTGGAGTATTACTACATTTGAGTTCCGTTAAGGAGTCGGGTAAAGTTGGTAAGCTATTTATTTGAGTATGATCGCAATAGAGTTTTGTTAAGGAGTCGGGTAAAGTTGGTAAGCTATTTATTGGAGTATAATCACAATATAGTTCCGTTAAGGAGTCGGGTAAAGTTGGTAAGCTATTTATTTGAGTATAACTAAAAACAAGTTTTGTTAAGGAGTCGGGTAATGTTGGTAAGCTATTTATTT